GTCGTGACATGCGACGCCGCCATCAAACGAGTCACGATCACGACGGCAACGAGCGCGTTTTATTCAACCACAGCGCCGTGCACGTCTGGCACAGGTGTGCTCTGTCACACCTGTCATGGAGCATAAAAAATGAAGCAAGCAATCGTACCCATGAAGACGGTCTTCGACATGGAGACCCAGGATCCCGACGACTACCTCACGCTCTTGCTGCTGCTAGGACACCCGATGGTGAACCTCGTGGCGGTGACCATCACGCCAGGCTCTGCCTATCAGGTGGGGCTCGTCAAGCGCACGCTGGCGATGTTCGGGCGGCAGGATATTCGCGTCGGAGCGAACAACATCGATCACCCCAAACAGTGCGTCTCGGGCTGGCACGAGCGCGCCTATGGAAGCATCACTCCTGACGGCGAGGCGGAGGAAGCTGGCGCCTTGCTCGCCGAGGTTTGCGACGCCGAAACGACCTTGATCACCGGCGCGCCGCTAAAGAACCTCGGCGAGGCGATGAAGCACAAACACTTCACGCTCGGGCGTTGGGTCGCCCAGGGTGGTTTTGCCGGAGAGGGTGTCGTCCCACCGGAGAAACAGCTCCCGAAGTTCAAGGGGTTAAAGACGGTCGCGACGTTTAACTTCAATGGCGCGCCCAAAGCTGCGTTGCAAGCGCTGGAACACGACGGGATAGGGGAGCGCTGGTACGTCTCCAAGAACGTCTGCCACGGGGTCGTCTACACCGAGCGAGTCCACCAGTGGCTCGAATCTCGCGCCGAGGGTGTGCGTCACCTCGAGATGATCTGGCAAGGGATGGAGACTTATCTGGCGAAGAAACGCTCTCGCGCGGCGTTTCGACAACGCGCGTTGACCGAGGCGGATCTGGGCACGATCTCCGAGGTGCGTCTTATCCCTCGAAGCAAGGGCAGTGCGGCGAGAGTGATAACCCTCGAGGACGCTCTCGCCGAGGCAAAAGAAGCGAGGTTGGATCTCGTGACCCTCGACGATCGCCAGACGCCATGCGTGGTCAAGCTAGGTGTCGTGAAGGCACCCCCGAGCGAGCCGGTCGAATATGGCAAGAAGTTTCACGATCCTCTGGCGGCGTGTTGTGCCATCGACACGAGCATCGGTGAGTGGGCCGAGGTGGAGCTGTACCGCGAGCGCGGGCTGTGGGGATCGCGAATAAGACCAGGATCGGGGACGAGGATCATCGTGGATTATGATCACGAGCGCTTCCTGGAGGTTTTGTCGATGCGTCCGGTGTGACACGACGGTGACACGGCCGCGTGTAGATGCTACATAGCGAGGGATGAGATCGCTGGTGCCGACTTTGGCCGACACGCAACGTTCCCCTCGAGCACGAAAAATGAGGGCGAGCCGCGGCGAGTTCATACATATGAACTCGCCGCGGCTCGCCCTTCTCTTTCATGCAAGCGACCGAAGAGATGAGCAAAACACCCACGGAGCCCACCTCCAACCAGTTTGGCACCTTTGGCGGTGTCTTCACGCCCTCGATCCTGACGATCCTGGGCGTGGTGATGTTCATGAGGACAGGCTTTGTCACGGGACAGGCCGGGATCATGACGGGCGTGCTCGTCTTGCTGATAAGCAAGTTGATCACGTTTTTGACAGGGCTCTCGATCTCGGCGATTTCGACCAACACCAAGGTCGAGGGCGGCGGCGCCTACTTCCTGATCTCGCGCTCGCTGGGGCCGGAGTTCGGCGCATCGATCGGCCTCGCGCTCTTTTTGGCGCAGGCGCTCTCGGTGCCGTTCTACATCCTCGGATTTGTCGAGGCGATGACGACCACGCAACCTCACCTGAAGGAAGACTTCCTGATGTTGGGGATCGTGGTGACGACGTTCATCTTCGCGCTCAATTACGTGGGCTCGAGCTGGGCGTTGCGCGCACAGTATCTGATCCTGGCGGCGCTCGTCGGTTCGGTCATCACGTTTATGGGCGGAGGATTGCTCGCCTTCGAGACGGCGACATTCCAGGCCAACTGGGCCACCGGTTATACCGCCCCCGAGTACAACTTCTGGACCATCTTTGCCGTCTTCTTTCCCGCCGTGACCGGTATCATGGCGGGCGTGAACATGTCGGGCGACCTCAAGGAGCCCGCCAGGAGCATCCCGAAGGGGACGCTCCTGGCGATCCTCGTCGGTGGCATCATCTACTTCGCGCAGATCGTGATCATGGGCGGCGCGCTCGAGAGGCAAACGCTGATCAACCGCCCCTATGAATCACTGCTCGATTCAGCGCTGTTCGGGATGGGCTGGATGGTGGTCGCGGGTGTGTATGCCGCGACGCTCTCGAGCGCGATCGGCTCGATGCTGGGTGCGCCGAGGATCTTGCAGGCGCTCGCCAGGGATAAGATCTTTCCGATCCTCTCGCCATTCGCCAAGGGCACCAAGGTCGGCGATGAACCTCGCAATGGGCTCTGGCTGACACTGGTGATGACGTTTGGCGTCCTGCTTATTGCAGGAGATGGCGGAGGCGGCGGCGCGCTCAACGCCGTGGCGAGCGTGCTGACGATGTTCTTCCTGTTCACCTACGGGATGACCAACATCGCCGCATTCATCGAGCAACTGAGCCGCAACCCCTCATTCCGTCCGAGGTTTCGCTACTTCCACTGGATCACCGCGTTACTCGGCACGATCGGTTGTTTTGGCGCGGCGTTCTTGATTAACCCCGTCGCCGCTCTCGCGGCGCTGGGTGTGATCGTGCTGATCTTTATCTACATCTCGCGCCGCGTGCTCACGACAACCTTCGGGGACGCCAGGAGAGGATTCACCTACGAGCGCGTCAGGGCAAACCTGCGCACGCTCGCGCAGCAACCGACGCACCCCAAGAACTGGCGCCCGACGACGCTCGTGTTGAGCGGAAACCCCGCGAGCAGGATGACGTTGACAAAGTTCGCCTCCTGGCTCGCGAGTGGTTCAGGGATCGTGACGTTGGCGAACATCATCGTGGGCGATATTCACGAGCAGCTCGAGGAGCGGCGCGAAAAACTCGGTGAGCTCGAGGAGTACATCGAGACAAACAACCTCGAAGCTTACGCCGATGTGCACATCGCGTCTGGTTTCGAGGAGGGTTTGTCGGCGCTGTTGCAATCGCACTCGATCGGGCCGCTCAAGCCAAACATGCTGCTGTTCGGGTGGCCCAGCTCTGCGGATCGCGCCGGTTGGTTCGGGCAGCACCTGCGCCTGGCGAGCGAGCTTGGGATGAGCCAGGTGATTCTCTGCGATGATGGTTTGCCAGCGGTTGGCAAGGGCAGCAAACCTCGCATCGACGTGTGGTGGCGTGGTCTGGAGAATGGCTCGTTGATGGTCCTGCTCGCGCACCTGCTGACGAACAACTGGGAGTGGCGACAAGCAACGATCCGGTTGCTTCACCTGACGCACCCCGATGAGAACACCGATGATTTGCGCGGCGAGATCGAGGCGATGATGGAGGCTGCTCGCCTGGATGGTGAGATCGTGATCATCCCGGCTGGGGAAGGATCATCCTTCGTCGAGTCGATCCATGACAGCTCACACGACGCGGACGTGGTGTTCCTCGGCTTTAAACCACCAGAGGATGATGAGGCCGCGAGCCTCTTCCACCTGTTCTACTCCGAGGTGACTGAAGGACTCCCGACCACGCTGCTGATCAACTCGTCGGGCGATGTCGACCTGCTCAGTTAATACACTGGGATGTGCAGAGAATAAGCGTAGAACCGAAAGCGGCCCTGGTGAAAACCAGGGCCGCTTTCGGTTCGTGAGCGCCTGGAGGGTAACAGGCATCACAAATGGGATTTCATTTCATCTCACCGCGTCGCCGCGATCTCACCAGGGGAGGGTGTCACCGAGGTGGATATAAGCTCCGCTCGGACCATCTTCGCCGAGCGTGGCGAGGTCGACGCTCGTCTTCGCGCCTTGGACGATGTCCATCGGCGCCTGCTCTCCGCCCATGTCGGTCTGGACCCAGCCCGGGTGCGCGGCGTTGACCTTGATGGAGGTGTCCGCGAGGGCGTGCGCGAGGTGAATGGTGTACATGTTGAGCGCCGCCTTGGAGGCGTTGTAGGCGAATGACTTGGAGTTGTAGATGGGGGAGTCCTCGGTCGCGTGAAGGGTGAGCGAACCGAGGATGCTCGTGAGGTTGACGATGCGACCGGCGTCGCTCTTCTCGAGCAGCGGGAGGAAGGCGCGTGTGGTGCGAATCACTCCGAGCAGGTTCACGTCGAAGGTCTCCTCGATCGCATCGAGCGCGACGTCAGCGACGCTGTTTCCGAAGAACTCCTCGCCGGTGATGATGCCCGCGTTATTGACCAGCGCGTCGAGCTTGCCAAACTTCTCGGTGACCTCTGCGGCGGCGGCTTGCACGCTGGCGTCATCGCTGACATCGAGCGCGAGCGGCACGGCGCGCTCGATGCCCTGTGTCTTGAGCTCTGTGACCGCGCCTTCGGCCTTCTCCAGGCTGCGCGCAGCGACCAGGACGGTGTATCCTTGTTGTCCGAGTTGTCGGGCGGTCTCCAGACCAATGCCACGATTTGCGCCAGTGATAAGAGCGATCTTGTTTTGTGCTGCCATTTTCATTCTCCTCGGGGGTGGTGAGCCAACCAACAGGAAAGCGGCTCACCCATATGAAGTGTGTGTAAAGCATCTCTCGTTCACACCACCGAACGTGATCACTCCCGAGGTCAAGCCAAACAAGGATTGGTCATTGGTGGTATGAATGTGATTCATACCCTCGCCAGAGGGATGCGCGGCGAGCATTGTTTCGAGGAGTGTGGCTTGTTCCGGCAAGGAAAGGCTTGGTTGCTCACCGCCGCATGGTGTACATCTTCGTTGCTATCGCAAGCCATGACACTCGCCATGCATGTGGGCGATGAACGAATGGGTTTGGCCTTTTATACTGTCAATGAGCAATGAACTATGAGCGAGCACGCCAAGCAAGAGCTCGAAGATATCCTGGATGCGTTGGTCGAAAGCTACAGTGATCCTGCGGAAATCAACAACCTGGAGACCTACGCGATGCCGAACAAGCGCGCGGTGATCCAGGCATTTCATCATATCCAACACCTGCTCTTTTTGGGGTTCTTCAGCACGCGCAAGCTGAGGCCCGAGATCCTACGTATGGCGCTCGCCGAGCACCTGGTCCCCGCGCACGAGCTGCTGGCCGAGCAGATCAATCGCGCGGCGGTGTGGGATGATCGAAGCACGCTTCCAGAGAAACGCCGCCCCGAAGGATGGTGTAAGCAGGTCGTCGGGGAGACCTTTCGAAAGCTCCCCACCATTCGCAAGCAACTCTATGGCGACGTGATGGCCTCGTATCGCAATGATCCGGCCGCTGCCAGTATCGAAGAGGTCGTCTTCTCTTACCCCGGTATCATCGCGTTGACGGCGCATCGGTTCGCGCACGAGCTCCACCGGGCGAGGGTCCCGATGATTCCTCGAATCCTCTCCGAGTACGCGCACGAGCGCACAGGGGTGGATATTCACCCGGGCGCGAAGTTCGGGGAGCGCATCTTTATCGACCACGGGACGGGCCTCGTGGTGGGCGCGACCTCGGTGATCGGTGATGATGTCAAGCTTTATCAAGGAGTTACACTTGGCGCCTTGTCGGTCAGTGGTTTGACCGACGAGCAGCAAAAGCGCCACCCGACCCTGGGAGATCGCGTCACGGTTTACGCTGGCGCGACGATTCTTGGCGGAGATACTGAAGTGGGCGCAGATTCCGTGATCGGCGGCAACGTGTGGCTGGTCAAGAGCGTGCCCCCAGGCTCCAAAATTTACCATAAACCCAATCAATCCTGAGTAATGACAGGCGGCCAGGACGCCTGCCTCGATGACTGTTCAATGAAGGGAGAATGACAAGATGACGATTCGTGCTGATATCGTGGATGCGATCGGAAACACACCATTGATCGAGCTGGCGAGCTTCTCGAAAGAGACCGGCTGCAAGATCCTGGGCAAGGCCGAGTGGCTAAACCCTGGGATGTCGGTCAAGGATCGCGCGGCCAAGTTCATGGTGCTCGACGCCGAGGCGCGCGGGGTGCTTAAACCGGGCGGCACGATCGTCGAAGGGACCGCCGGGAACACGGGCATCGGGCTCGCTATGGTGGGACGGGCGCGCGGCTATCGCGTCGTGATCGTGATCCCCGAGACGCAGACCAAGGAGAAGAAGGACATGCTGCGCCTGTTTGGCGCAGAGCTCGTCGAGGTCCCCGCGGTCCCCTTCGCAAACCCCAATAACTACGTGCACGTCGCCGAGCGCCTGGCCGAGGAGCTCGGCGGGTTCTACGCGAACCAGTGGGACAACCTGGCGAATCGTCAATCGCACATCGAGGGCACCGCGCCCGAGATCTGGGAGCAAACCGGCGGCAAGGTCGACGCGTTCGTCTCGGCCATCGGTACCGGCGGCACGCTGTCTGGGACAGGCATCGGCCTCAAGGATTTCGACCAGAACATCACCGTGGCGCTGGCAGATCCTCACGGCGCGAAGATGTACGCTTACTTCACGCGCGGCGAGCTCGAGACGGACGTCGAAGGCGGTTCGATCACGCAGGGCATCGGCCAGGGTAGGGTGACGGGCAATGTCGATGGCTCGCTCGTCGACAAGGCATATCGCATCCCCGACACCGAGGCGGTCGAGGTGCTCGACAAGCTCGCCAGCGATGATGGCATCGTGCTCGGAGGCTCGGCAGGTGTGAACATCGCGGCGACCTTGAGGCTCGCGCGCGAGATGGGACCTGGGCACACGCTCGTCACGATCCTGTGCGATCATGGCAGCCGCTATCAGAGCCAGCTCTGGAGCGCGGAGTTCCGCCGTGAGCGCGGCTTCCAGGTGCCGAGCTGGCTCGAAGAGCCATCCTCGATCAAGCCTCCCTTTGTCTCCTGAACGCGAACCTGTTGGAGAACCGATGAAGCGCATCTCGATCATGCTCGCTGTATCACTGGCCTCGATCTGCATGCTCTCGGCATGTCCAGTCGGTAAGTCCGACAGCTCGCAAAAGCCTGTGGACACATGCACCAGCGCTGGCGTGCGGTGCAACCTCGAAGGAGGACAGCTCGGTGTTTGCTCAGCAAACACCGACGGCACCTTCGTGTGCGCTTCGCAGCACTGACCGCTGGCTCACGGCGCTTATCCAAACAAGAAGCGGCGAGCGGCGAGGATGAAGTTTCATCCTCGCCGCTCGCCGCTTCTTGTTTGGTGTGGGCGATGTGCGTGAATCACTCGCAGCAGGCGATCTTCATTTTGGCGGTGTCTTGGCCATTGGGGCCATCGACGTTCACGACAAACTCCCACTCACCCATCATATGCAGCTTCATCCCTTCGACGTTAAACGTGGTGGGGCCACCGTCGACCGTGGGCGTGACCTCCATGCCGTGCCCATGCGCGGGCATCGTCGCGTCGACCGTGATCGAGACCTCACCATCGAGGGGCTTGTGCTCGGAGTCGTGGACGGTGACCTCCATGTCGAAGAGCTCGTTATGCGGGATGACCGCAGGATCGCTCTCCCAGTGGATGTGGTAATTGCCGCCTTCGGACAGAGCTTCACGCTGAGTGCCACCGGTGCTGTGGTTTTCATGCGCCGAGTGATTGGCGTGATTTTCGTGATGGTGATCGTGGTTGTCCTCTTCCTCGGCTCTCCGCACGCGGGAGACGAGCGAGATGGAAGCAGCCAGGATCAGGATGGTGATGCGGTTATAGGGCATTTTCATTCTCTCGAGTCAGTGTTTGAAAGCGCGAACACATCGAAGATACGCGCGACTCTGACACAAGGATTGAAGGGTTTCAAACGACCAGACGAGAGCGAGGGTGAGGCAATTTGCCTCACCCTCTCTCGATGGCCACGAATAGCCTGGTCAACGGCCATCTGCCACCAGGAGTCCGCGCAGCTCTATCCGAACGTTGGATAGAGCCGCCGTGAATGTCTGTCGCGTCGAGGCAGTCGCTCGCTGCTCGGGTCGATTAGCCCATTCCCATGATGAACGAGCCAACGAGCATCAACGGGATGCTGAGCAAGGTCAGCAGAGCAGGTGTCTTCGTCCTGTCCCAGTGCATGATCACGAAGATCCACATCACGATGGGGAAGAAGAGCGAGAGCACTCCCCAGAGGATCGACTCCGAGAAACACTCGACGAGGATCCAGATGTTGCACACGATGAGTACGATTCCGACGACCAGAAGAACCAAGCCTCCAAGCAGGCTGAACATGAAACTTCTCCACGTTTGTGGTGGCCGTTGTATGAGTGTTGGTGAGTTGGCCACGAAACCCGCGATGATGACTTCATCACCGCCTCGACGTTTTCTATTTTAGGCGCCTAGTTGTTTTAAAAAATATCAAAATAACGAATTTTTCATTCGTTTTTTTACACGCATACAGCTTCCGACGCGCGGCGCCTTCTCTACCAACCCAGGACAACACCCGGCTCCCCGAGCCAGAGATAGGCCATGACCTCGTGACGTCCAGCGCGCGCGGCGGTGCGCCGAGATGCCTGATTCCTGGCATCGATCGTGCCGCAGACAAGCGCGCCGGGATGATCGGTCGCGATCCAATCGGTCAGCGCGCGCTGGCCGCGTGAAGCGAGTCCTTTCTGGCGCTCGCTCGGGTGAATGATCTCCTCGATCATCCAGAACCCGGGGATGCCCAGAGAGCAGGTCTCTTCTGCGGCGAGGAGGCCCGCGATTTCCCGCTGCTCGCCGGGGATGAGGAGGACGTAACCGAGCTCGATACAGCGCTGGAGTTCGGTGAGATCTGCGGGCGCGAGCCAGCGCCTGGAGTCGGGATCGCCTTGAAAATGCGCCTCGTACATCGCATCGAGTGCTCTGGATGCTTCGCTGGCTTGTGCGAGCGTGGCGAGGTCGCCAAAGGTTTCGGGCGTGTGTGAGGTCTTTCGAGCGACGCCAATGGAGAGCACCTGGTCGATGCTCGTCGAGATGCCCTCTGACCATGTGGGAGGATGAGGGTATGGCCAGAGCACCCTGATGATCTGAGGATGGAAGCGCGCGAAGTGTTCGCGGAGCGCGCGCAGGACATCAGGAGCGTCGATCTCATCAGAGAAAGGTCGCTCGGTCGCGATGAGGTCGACAAAGGGCCTCTCGATCGCGCCACCCATAAAGCGAATGCCCGCGAGCACATGACCCAGGCCACCGAGTTCGATGATGCGATTGAGGTAATGTGCGGGCTCGGCGCCAGGGATAGGACATCCCTTTTGAAAACGCTTGCCAAAGCTCAGGTCATCGCAGCGCGAGAGCTCGAGGTTTAGCCAACGCTCGAGCGCTGTGTCAAACCCATCAGCGTTGTGAACGAGCTCCGGGCGAAGGCGTTTGGCGCTGTCCCAGAACATCGAGAGGCCGTCTTTTATCACGTGGGGAAGTGTCCTTCTTTGGGGTAGGCGAGCGCTTCGAGATCCACGACAGGTTGGTGGGCCTGGGCGCGGAGTCTGGCGACGAGGTCGTCATTGGTCCAGGAGGAGTGAGGGACGATGTGCGCGCGTTTGTCTCCTGAATCAGCCTCGAGCAGGATCTGGCCGCGCCCGACCTGGATGCTGATGACTTCTTTCAGGACGAGCTCTTCTCCATCGACGAACAATACACGCACGATTCCTCCTTCTTCTCTCGTTGGGTGACACCTGTTCTTACCAAACATCGAAGAGGCGATGAAGTGCTTTCCCTGGCGCGGTGCCGAGCTTTATTCGGGCAGAGCGCTGGTGGCCGAGCAACCGAAGCCGCGCAAAAATCGCCCGACCTGGGCGTCTTACTCACCGACGGTGGGCGATTTTTGCGCGGCTTCGGTTGCGAGCGAGCGTCGACGTAGATGAGGACGCGAGAAAGGTTCTTGACGAATGTTCAGCGTTTTCGGATGGTTTCGAGTCGAGGATAAGGAGGTCACGTCTATGGACAGGCAGGGAAACAGCTTTCAAATTCTGGCGAGCGGCTCGAGCGGGAACGCCACGGTGTTGCAGCATGGCGAAACAAACGTCTTGCTCGACATGGGGATCTCGCTGACGCGTACCAGGAAGGCGCTGCGCGAGCTCGGGCTGGGGATCGAGGATCTCGACGGCGTCGTGATCACGCACGAGCACAGCGATCATATCAAGGGGCTTGAGATGCTCGTCAAGTATCACCCCGAGGTGGTCCTCTACGCGAGCAAGGGGACTCAGGCGAAGGTCCCAAGGGGCGCTCGGGTCAAGACGATCGAGCGCGGCAGGAGCTTCGAGATCGGCTCGCTCTCATGCCACCCCTACGCGACACAGCACGACGCCAACGAACCGCTCGGGTTTCGCTTCGAGGGTGAGGATGGCGCGAGGCTAGGTTGGGCCACGGATCTTGGCTACTGGGATGATGAGACCGCCGAGCATCTGGAGGATTGCCACGTCGTCATGATCGAGGCCAATCATGACCCGGACATGCTCTGGAAGGGGCCGTATCCCTCGTTCTTGAAGCGCCGCGTGTCGAGTAGGCTCGGCCACCTCTCGAATGTGCAGGCGATGTGGTTGCTCGATCGGATCGCGTCTCCATCACTGCAACGCGTGATCCTGGGGCACCTGAGCGAGAAGAATAACGACACCCACCTGGCGCTAAGGACTGTCTCCAAGGCGCTCTCCAACGCCAACATTCCGATCTCTGTGGCCGAGCGAAAGAGCGCAGGTCCAGAGCTTGCCTGGGAGCCCGGCGAGTTTTCTCATTCCGGTCACACAGAGCGCGTGAAAGATGAGGACGCTACAGAGCAACTCCAGGCGAGCCTGTTCTGAACTTGCTCGATGAAATTATAGCTTTGATTTCAGCGGTTTATGGCCCAGGCGTTTCTTCACGCTGGTCTTCTGTGAGGCTGCTGCAATCCGGGTACCCGGCTTCAGAACCATCGCCAGACTCCATCTCCCATGCGTCTGGGCCACATGTATTGAAGTACCAGAGTTGGCCATCCGGTGCTCGCTTGACAGCGGTGCCATTATTGCAGCTTCCCATCAGGTTCTGGGTGTACGTCGGTTGGAGGGGAAAGAGGCATTCGCGCTCTTCATCGATCGGCCACCCCTCGATCCCGCCAGTGATTTTGCCACAAGATGACAGGCACACCATGGCAATACACAGGATCAGGACATGGATTGCTTTCATTCGGTTCCCCCCTTTTCATTAGCTTCGATTGACTTCTATCTGAATCTATCAGCAAAGCCCGTCTCGAAGAAATAAGCGTCGATAAGACAGCATCCATGCGGTGATCCGCGATCGTATGGTGAGCGGATCTTACTGGCGAAGCGCGTCGACGAGCATCTGGATGCTGCCTTCGACACGCGCCAAGGCATTGCACAGGTCCTCTTCATCTTCGTCCTCGGCGAACAACTCCTCGGGTTGCATCGGCGCGCCGATCTGGAACCTGATTTTCCAGGGGATGATCGGCGTGAATATCAGCGGTGATGTGAGCCAAATAAACGCCAATATAAGTCGCCACATCAGATCGATCGGGAGCAGAGAGAGAAGGATCGCTCCGCTCAAACCGAGCAGTGAGACGCACCAACGCTTGACGCCGAGCAACCTCGGCAGGATGAAGATCCAGGCCAGGGCGCGAGCGCGGAACAGGATCGGCGCGGTGTAGTGGCTCCCCTGGATTCCCATGGGAACGATCGGAATCCTGGTGGTTCGCGCGATCTTGAGGAAACCTCTTCTGCCGCCGAAGTCGACGCGGTTTGCTTGCCAGATCGGGCGCATCGTCTCGTGGTCTCCGCCTGGAAAGACCAGCAATGGCACACCTTGCTCCAGGGCGCGGTATGCGTCCTCGTAGGTCGAGGGCACGGTGCCAAGCTCGGCGTGGAGCGCGGTCACAGGCCAGAAGCGAAAGCCGAGGGGGTGCGCGAAACCAGCGAGCGGGCGCTCGTTGCCAAACTGACCCGCGTACA